TGTATGATGAGTGGTGTATGATGAGTGGTGTATGATGAGTGGTGTATTGATGAGTGGTGTATGTTGAGCGGTGTATGATGGGTGGTGTATGATGAGTGGTGTATGGTGAGTGGTGTATGATGAGTGGTGTATGATCAGTGGTGTATGATGAGTCGGTGGTGTATGATGAGTGGTGTATGATGAGTGGTGTATTGATGAGTGGTGTATGATGAGTGGTGTATTGATGAGTGGTGTATGATGAGTGGTGTATGATGAGTGGTGTATGATGAGTGGTGTATGATGAGTGGTGTATGATCGGTGGTGTATGATGAGTGGGTGGTGTATGATGAGTGGTGTATTGATGAGTGGTGTATTGATGAGCGGTGTATTGATGAGTGGTGTATGATGAGTGGTGTATTGATCAGTGGTGTATGATCAGTGGTGTATGAGTGTTTCTTGAATGTCCGTAACACGGAAGTTTCGTACACTAAACTTCCTTTGATAATTATTCATCTGGTTTCTAGGATTCTATGTCTCCAACTTTATGCAAAGATATGCTAGGCGGAAGTTGTGTCCCTTGAATGAGCCTTGCAAGCACTTTCACCAGACAAACAATCATCAAATGCAAGACTTGGGCAAAAGATGGTACTAAAACTCTGGTGCCACATCTGGTGGCCCCTCTCTCGTCCCACCCAGTCTCCGGTGTCTCAGCAAGATCACTTTCGGGAAAGTCTGCATCTGCCTTCACCATCTTGACCTGAATCGCAGCATGGCAAGTCAAGTGTCCGGCTGGAAAGCTGACAGGGCAGTCCAGTCCTTGTAGCTATGCTGGCTCATGTCGATCCAGGAGTCCTGTCAAGTGTACAGTTCCAGACTATTCAAGGGCATGCGACATGTGTGTCTATAAGTCCATGTCAAGCAACACGGAAATACATTGACATGCAACAACAAACGCTATGTTGTCAAAGGATTAAAGTTAAAGTTATATATGTCTAAACACGTGGTTTGCAAGTGAAATTTAAACAGTCTGTCATTTCATCCTATATCCTGGCAACTGCAACAATCTTGAGAATTGCAGCTAGTCTCCTCACCCTCAACCTTTCCCTGGCCAGTGATTTCCAGAAGGGCTTCCACGCAATATCACATAAAGAATGATCTGATCTCACAGAGACTTTCGCATCATTCAACATCATCCTTCTTTTGTCTCAGGTTCGCCTGGTTTGATGGAGCAGGGCCCAGCCAAGAACCTTCAAAGCCACTTCGGAAACAATGGAAATTACTCTATTTCGAGTGATCCCCACCATGACATTTCAATTTTACATGTTTTTCGGCGTGTAATGACACATTATGTTGGCATTCTTTCTGGCATATCTTCTGAGGGGACGTGCAATCCGGGAGGATTTTGAACGGGACACTCAGGGACACTCAAGGACAGTCAAGCCACCAAGTTCGAGGCAGCCACTCAAAGCCACTCAAAGACACTCAAGGATGTCCGTGAGTGTCCTTGAGTGTCCTTGAGTGTCTGGCTTTTTTGAATGACGTTGAGTGTCCCGAAGTGTCCTTGAGTGTCTGGTCTATTTCTTGGGTGATCTTGAGCGTCCTTGGGCGTCGTCTAGTTCTTTTTATAGATGACCCTGAGCGTCCTTGAGTGTCTTGAGTGTTTGCTTGTGTCCTGGCTCAGACTTGTTTAAGTATCTTCAAGTCTCCGTGTGTTCTGAGTCATTATTTTTGAAGTTTCCCTGGATGTCCTTTAGTGTCTGTAGTCTACACTTTTATGTTTCTGGCGTCCCTGTTTCTGGCGTCCCTAGCTGTGAGGGTAGTGCGCGGAAAGGGCTTAGTAGAAGCCTATTCCACTAACTTTGTGGAAGGTCCGGTCATTCGTGGAACCCTTGCCTATTCACATAGCATTCGTGGAATTCTGGATCCTTAGGAATACAAACTCCAACAAAAAATGGAAACCTTCGCAGGACTTAGTGGCAAGCTTTTTTGGGATAATGCACTAGCCTCGCAAGGATCTTTTGTGCTCTCCCTATTTCCGCACACACAAACCCTCCATTGTGGGGAGGGCAATGGTATCCCTTTTGAGATTTGTGAAGCATTCATCGAGACCATCGCAGCTGGATATGTCGTGGCTCATGCACGGTAAGGACACGCTCCATTGAGGACAAGTGAATGAAACCTGAAAGTTTGGGCACACCCTAGCTCTTGAAGTGTCAGCAGTGCGATCGTAGCTGTTCCTGGGCCAGGAGCAGACGCAGTCTGGGAGCCAAGTGCAAGGAGGGCTGGCGTTCGTTGGTTGAGCGCCGGTCACACATGCAGTGATATAGCAAGCAGACCAATCACAGCAAAATCGCCAATAGAAAAAAGCCTCGTGAGCTTGTGGTTCTTTCGCATGGACCCGATGTTACAGACATTGTGTATCCAAACAGCGCACCTAACCTGGATACATGCTTGGCTGCAGAGATAGCAAGAAAAT